GCTACTGCCAAATTGAATAGACAGTACTGTGCTCAGTGGACCAATGGTCTGACAGTGTATGGCAACCTGCAAAGGAGCGGATGCTTTGACGACCCACATTTGTCATGGTAGACACGTCTGAGCACTAGCTTCTCTAGGTGAGGGAATTAGCCACTATAGGGAGTGTAATTTGTAGTTCAACCCGTAATACTCTAGTCTTGGTCATTCTTGGAGATGAGAATGTAATGGTTGGCGAAGTATTATTTCAGGGAAAATGCAAAGAAAGAATTTGGAAATTCTTCACTCAGGGCACATCCACACTACATACTTAACTGGTTTTGACAGCTATTCCTTCTTCCTGGGGATCCTTTGCTAAAACAGGTGAGACACAGGTAGAGAGGTCTCTTGTCCATTATCAGCACCCTATAAAACCGCTGTTCCCAGGGTTCCTTGGGAGAAGCTGTAACAGTTGAAGTGGTTTAAAACAGAAACAGGCTTGTCATGCAGACAGGTTTTCAGTCTCTTGAGAAGATTTATAAGAATTCTATTTTTTCAGACTTTTGAGAGGTTTTGTAAGAATTCTATTTTTCTAAAGACTATGCAAGTGTGATTTCTGTTAGAATGACAGTCCGATCATTTAACAAAAAATGGAGCTTGGATTTTGATCTGTACTTTTAAAGAAAGACAAAAATATTAACTATTTTAAGTGATTTGCCATTAACAAACAACTTTTTGTACCAAATAATTTGCTTTCTTGAGGACTAGATGCTTTATTCAACAAAAATGTAACCACTTGTCTGTTTTCAAGTTTTGCAGTGGCTGAAATTACCCAGCAAGTCAGTAAATTACATTCAACTACTGAGTTTGAGAAAGTATATATTGGTTGCCTTCCTAAAATCAATATGTAATTGATTTTAACCCTATCTTGCTTGTCCCCTTTACTTGCAAAAATAAAGTTAATGAAAATTGTTGTCTGTTGATCATAATGTTTAGGCATTTCTCAGGATAATGGAATGTGTGATTTGTTACTTATACCATGTGATGGGTGTGCATGTTCTACAGACATAAAGTAAGGCGGTGTGATCTAGTACAAGTCCTGATTTTAATATTACATTTAAATTAGGTAAAGTCAATAACCTGTGACTCAGTGGTACAGTATCTGCTTTGCATGCAGAAGGTCCCGGGTTCAGTCCCTGGCATCTCCAGTTAAAAGGATCAGGTAGGGAGGTGATTGATTGATTTGGTTTATTAGATTTTTACCCCACCCTCCCAGCTGAAGCCGGCTCAGGGCGGCTTACACGAGAACAGAATAAAATTTCCAATAATATAAAATTATCAAACATCAATTAATACAAATAACAAAGCTAAAACCATAGACATAATAAAGTGCTAGTAACTTGGTTTCCTCATCTTGCAGTTAGCTCCTTGATCATCTTCAGTTGTCCTGGGCGATTAGCTCAGGCAGTAATTAGAGGATCCAGGGGGTCAGGGCTCTCCCATCATAGGCTGTCAGGTGTTAGTAGTTGTCGTGGCGGCACCAAAGGTCTGGTGAAAGAACTCCGTTTTACAGGCCCTGTGGAACTGTAAAAGGTCCTGAAGGGCCCTAGTCTCTTCTGGGAGGAGAAGAGAAGAGATTGGATTTATACCCCACCCTTCACTCAGAATCTCAGAGTGACTTACAATCTCCTTTCCCCTCCCCACAACAGATACCCTGTGAGGTAGGGGGGGCTGAGAGAGCTCTGACAGAAACTGCTCATTTTCAAGAACACCTCTGACAGAAGTATGGCTTGCCCAAGGTCATTCAGCAGCTGCGAGTGGAGAAGTGGGGATCAAACCCGGTTCTCCCAGATTAAAGTCCACACACTAAACCACTACACCAAACTGGCTCTATATGGTTTGTGTTGACCTTGAAAGCAGGACTGCAAACAATAGTTTGGTCTACGGGTGTACACTCTGAAATTCCAAAACTGAAAAGATACACGAAAATTGCTGTTTTGGATCATTACTATGATTTTTCTAGACACCGGTTCACGGTTTCTAAAGCCTCTCTGAGATCAGCTAGAAGTGCAAGATAGAACTGGGTGTCATCCACATATTGGTGACAATCCAGCCCAAATCTCAGGTGACTTCACCCATTGGTTTCATGTAGATATTACAGAACGTAGGGGACAAGGTGGAACCTTGTGGGACCCCATAAGCCAAAGGCCAAGGGGCTGAACAGCAGTTCCCCAGCACCAACCTTTGGAACCTACCCTCCAGGTAGGGCTGGATCCACCACAGAATGGTGCCTCCCAGTCCAGAAGGATACCATGATTTATGGTATTGAAAGCTGCAGAGTGGTCCAGGAGATTCAACAGAGTCCCAGTCACTCCATCCATCTCCCAGTATAAGTCATTCACCAGGACAACCAAGGCTATTTTAGTCCCATAACTAAGCTTGAAATCAGATTGGAAAGAATCCAAACAATTTGCCTCATCCAGAAAGCCTTGGAGTTGTTCAGCCCCCACCTGCTCAAGAATGGAACATCTGAAACAGAGTCACTGAGAGTTCCGTTTTTGCTTGTCTCGTTTTTTTACTGGCTGCTGAATCCTTGTGGTTACAGACTTGTTTTCTAAGCTTCGGCATCCATATGAGTATGAAAGAGATGCATTTACTATAAATGATCATATAGTCTGGAACCTGCTATTTCCAAGGAAATGCTGCATTGGTGACTGATCTTACTCCTTATCTCTGCTTGTTTTGCTCCTTTTCAAAAGAAGTGTGATTCTGCAGACAGAATTGGGGGAGGGGGCGGTGCTTGGATTGCAGCAGTGCAGTGAAGTGAGAAAGTTGTCCTCTGGTGATAGAAATCCCTTCCATCCATGTAAATCCAAGCCCTTCTGTAGGTTTTATGGGTGTGAATCAGTATCTACGATGGCCTTGTATGTACATTGACTAAAACTGGGGGAAATGCAAGGAATGTGCTTCCTCGGGGGGGGGGGGGGCGCATTAAGAGAAACAGCAGCACTGGAAGACAGTGAAGGCTGAATGGCTTAGATAGGGATTCCTTGTTTAGGGTTTTCTTTTTCACTTTTACAGCAGCAGCTACCTAGTTCTGTTAGATGTTTAAGCGATAAATACTGGAAGAACAGATGCAAAAAAAAATTCCATCCTGATTGCTTCACTCAACTCCAGTCTGTCTATCCCCAAAGCCCTCCTAATTCACTAGCATTTGGTTGCCCTGGGTCCTCTCGACTTTGACCCCAGCCACCGTCCATCCCTGGAGCAATTCTTGGTGTAAAGTTTCAAAGCAACTGTCAAGATTCCAGTGCTGCTTACTAACCCTTTTAGAATTTTTCTGAATTTTTGCAATACTCTAAATAGCTAAGATACACTTCATTGACTTTAAGCCTTTAGAAAAGAGAGGGTTTGTGTGTGAGAGAGAACGTATGAAACTGCCTGATACTCAGACCACTGAACCAGTACTAAATGGAGTCTTCTCGTAGATGGCACCACCATGACCAGATATAGAACTATACTAACAAGGAATAAGGGAATATTTCAACATCTTTTATTTCCATTGGAACATTTTCTTTTTGTCCAAAGTAATGAAAGAAAGTGGAATGTTCTTCCATGCTTTGTATGAAAAGATTCATAACTCTCCATCGGACCACAACAGGAGTGTTTCCACTGCCAGGGCAATTCAAGAGTCATACCATAAGCAATAGCTGTATAGAAAAGGATGTGCCGTGAGTAAAAACATGTGTGTGAAAGTTAACATTTTATACAACTGTGGCGTGTGAGAATATCAAGGACAAAAAAACAACTACGGTACTTTCAACAAGCTATGGCTAGGTGTGAGCACAATTGGACTGCAATCAGAGCAATACAGAACAATCATTTACTAGGACAAAAAACAAATTCTTTCTACAAAGCTATGGTTAGAAATGTGCACAATTGGACTGCAATCAGAGCAATACAGAACAGTCATTTACTAGGACAAAGAACTACTCTCTACAAAACTATGACTAGGTGTGAGTATAATTGGACTGCAACCCAAGCAATACAGAAGAATCATTTCCTTGTACAATCTATGGCACTATACAAAGTTATGAGGACCAGTTAATTTTGACCTTTGACTTTCCCATGTAGAATGTGCTTCTGCTAGTTATGCTCTTGAAACATGCATTGGGTCTTTATATATTAAAGTTCATGACCACCTCAACCACTGGAGGAGGAACCATTCCAGTTGGAGGAGGCTGGAAGGTCAGTAGTTCAGCAGTTCGAGACCCCAGTGCCGCATGACGGAGTGAGCTCCCGTCTCTGGTTCCATCTCCTGCCAACCTAGCAGTTCAAAAGCAAGAAATTGCAAGTAGATAAATAAGTACCACTTCGGTGGTAACAGCGTTCCGTGCGCCTTGGCATTTAGTCATGCCAGCCACATGACCACGGAAACATATTTAGACAGCACTGGCTCTTCGGCTTTGAAACGGAGATGAGCACCATAACCCTAGAGTCGGATTCGACTGGCTTTCGAGCAAGGGAAACCTTTACCTTAGGGACACAGGCCATTGTATTATACAGTTGTTACTAGACATACTGATCAAAACCTTTCCAGTTGGGATGTTAGGCTGTTTAAGACTGAGATCTAAAGCTCCACAGTGTTAAGTGGTCATATAATGAATAAGGACACTTGGTTGATTTTTCACAGCATCTAGAAAGCAAATATTTGAAACAAAAGGAGTTCAAAGCCTACAGTCACTGCAGAGACTTTTTTTTAAGAATGAGCTTTTTGTTTGTAATGAAAAATGCAAGAAGTGGATTTACAACAAGCAAGCATTTGTTATTAATATCCAGCTACCAAAACAAAATTCTCTCCCAGAACATGGTGGGCCGAGAGACTGTAACATACCAGGTTCCAAAAGGGCATTTTCCAAGTCAATGTAATGTAATATACATCCAGAAATAAAATACCAGAAGCTTTGTTGCAAAGATCACCAATAAATGTGTTTATTATTCAGATAAACTGAAAACGTTAGGTCTCTTAAAAAAATAATTATCTCACATACACAAATACTTGCAAAATTAGTTACCCGACAGCAGTCTTATAAAAAGAATATAAATATGAACAGAAATTCAAAAGCAGTTTTATAAAAAGAATATAAATATGAACAGAAACGCCAAACAGTTGCTTGGGTGCTTCCGTTTGCATTAAGTTTGGCTTACAATAAGGGTACCTTTGTGCAGATGTTTTGGACTAGAATGCATACTGGAGGTCAGCCACCTGATAAATCTCTTCAACACAATCATAATGATCAACACTCATTTTTAAGGGCTGCTAAGAGGCTTGGTGGACCGTTCCCATCATAAATTAAAACTGGCTCAGAAACAGTATTAGACTTGTGGCAACGGGCTTGGCCCACCTGGACAAGCAATTCAGGCCGTCCCTTGGAGTACCAGGGAAGAAGCGTTTGATTCAAAAAGTGAGCCCCTATGTTTTCTTGCAACATAACACAGGGATTCTGGACTTCTTCTGCACCTCTTGGACTTGGTATTTTAACCAGCACGGTTGCAACTTTTAGCCCCTCATGAAAGAAATGTCCGAACTGTACCCTTGATTGTACCCCTGCATATAGGGCACTTCCTAAGGGATGGCGCACACTCTTTACACACTACTAAATGACCGCATGGGATGAAGACGATGGACACTTCCTTGTCCATGCAGACTTTGCATGTTCTCTCCTCCTGTAGACGTCTCAGCTGTTCTTCCATGGGCAGCCCTGCAGAGGAAGAACTCTATGGATTATTTGTGAAGCGGAGATAATACACTATAAAGATGCACCACCTTTCTGAACTGTTACACATCAAAATAACACAGAAGAACAAGAAACAGGATCAATCGTCTTAATTCCTCAAAACACACATACACACCAATCCCCCTTCTGCATCCACTAAAACAAGATACCATAACAGACAAAAGGAATGAGGAGACTCCCAACATCAGACCTATTTTGAGATCCCCCGGTGTATGCACCAAAGATGCACCCATGCTGTTTGAGAATTTTGTTTCAGAGATGCTGCAAACCCAGAACAAGCTTAAAGGCTGCTACACAGGTTATAAACAGACTCAAACAGCAGGTATAAAACTGTACTTCTTGCTTCCTGTAATATGCAAGGTTGGTTATGGAGTCATTCCCCTGTTTGAGAGGGATGATACCTATATGCTTCATTTTCATATGGGCATTGCATACCTGGCAGGGAGAAGGAAAAAGAATACTCCTTTCTTCTTTTATGTCGCAACGCAAGACAGAAGGTTGGATCCAGACTAAATTTTCTTCTCAAGCAAGATGCTTTTGTCAGTAGAACAGAAAGTTCCTCCCCACAACTGCAGCCCACTGATCTCCCCCCCAAATTCTGCTCCTTTGGGACAGGGGGACCCTCAGGAACAGCGTGAGAGGCAAACTCAGGCTCTGCTGGAATGGCTGGAAGTTACCTTGCCCCTTCCATGAGCAGAACATTTAGTCTGGATCCAACACAGAGAGCAGACACCCATTACTGAGTTTCGAACTAAGTGCTGAGCGGGATAAAGAGATAGGAGAGGTTTTTACTTCCCAAACAACTTGGGGTTGTCCTGCCCCAGAGGTCTTCCATTCTACGTTAAGCAATTCACTGTGCCCTGATATAGGAGAGCTTTTATGCTTGCTAGGTTGAACTCTATACCGTCTCAAGTAATGAATGGTCATTATAAGAAGGTGCCGCATTCAGAGAGGCTATGCTTATGTCCTACATCTTCTCTTATACAACGGAACTGTGTCTGCTGGAATGTTCCCTCTAAGCTGAGTTAGTGTGAGCTAGCTCAGAGTTTTTTTAGCCTCTGGCTCACACATAGTTGTCTTTGCTCAGGAAGGATGGCTCCAGTGCAAACTAATTTATGCAGTAGCCAAATCACCTGCTCACAACTTCAATGCCAGTAGCTCACAAAGTAGAATTTTTGCTCACAGGACTCCATATCTTAGAGGGAACATTGCTCTCAACTGTGGGATTCGTGGATTATTCCATCCCATAGGATGGCAGGTGCCTCAGCACTGCAGGAGAAAAACTGGGGAGACTGCTGGCCAGGTTGGATTCAGAGATTACTTTGACTTTTGCTATAACACGTGGAGGAAGAAATCACAAGTAGAAAATTATTTTAGGGGGGGTTTTTTAGCCTGGGTTATGCAGATTCTAACATGGCACTACTCCCAACCTATAGGTCAAATGAGTAGTCTCATTTAAGTACTTCCAAAAACACTACTGCCATCTTTTTCTCTTTTACGCACAAACAATACTCTCATCAAAATACTACCCAGATTGAAATTAATGAATTAAGTATTTACCTGAAGCATCTTCTGGTGGAATGTATGTCACATTCTTCTCCACTAAAAAAACAAAAAGAACTTCCTCAGTCAAAAAAAAGATCAACTGTTTCAGTCAATCCAAAGCATTAAAGCTTCTTTCAGCCAATAGGCTGTTCTGCTAATTAAACTGTATCCAATATACAGCCTCAAAGAAGAAAAAAATATATATAATAAGCAGGCTTCTCTCATCTACAAGAACCACTGCTGCTGGATACGCCAACAGCCCCAAACGGCCCACTCCTCAAAGAAGGGGCAGTTAGAAGCCAACCAGCACACTCACCGAACAAATCTCTGTATAACAGAGGATCACACTCCTGTAAACAGTTTCTGAATATGTTTGCAGCTGCATTTCCTTTCACCAAGATGGTATCAATCAGTTCTCTTGCTTGCAGGGGCGTCTGCGTTTTCTGTTTTATGACACCATTTTCAAACTCGGTTATGACTTTGGAAGTCAGCAACTTTTCCAGGATAGGGAGCACGCATGTTAAGCGCTGAAACAACGCCATCCGGTACTTTCGGATTAAGGTCAGATCATCTGAAACACAACAATGAAGGGATAAATTGAGTTACAGACTTCTTTGCTCATTTCTTAAGTCTCTCTGCTGGAATAGAGAAGTAAGCATTCAGAAGAGTTTTCGGCTAAACACTGGGAAAGAACTTCCTGACAAAGTGGTTCCTCAGTGGAACAGGCCTTCTCGGGAGGTGATGGGCTCTCCTTCTTTAGAGGTTTTCAAACAGAGCCTGATTCTGTGAAATTAGGCAGATCATGACAGGGAGGGCAGGAAGGGTTGCCTCAGTGCTTAGTTCTTGTGGCCCTTTCTTACATGACCAGGGAAATGCTGATTGCCACTTCATGGTCAGAATGCATTTTTTCTCCAGGCCAGTTTGGCTGGAGATCCTGGAGGTTTTTTTGTCATCTTGCTACCTTTATGAATTTTTATTGTTAACTTTAAGTGTTTTTAATGTGAATGTGATTTTATTGTAACAAGTCTTGGACTCAGCTTTTGTGATCAACCCTGAGGAGGGCGGAATAGAAATCTCAAAAATAAAATAAAAATAAAACACTGTGGAACAGTGGTCACTGGGTATGGGGGGTATTTGTGAATTTCCTGTACTGTGCAGGGGGTTGGACTAGATGACCCTGGAGTTCCTTTCCAACTCTATGATTCTATGAAATTTCTGGGCTTTTCTCTCCTTTTCTCCTTCTTGATGGCAACAAAAATTTGGGGGAGAAAACTGAAGGCAGCCATATTTTCTTCCTAAACTTAAGTTTGTTACTTTAACAAGAAAATAAGTTACATGTGTTTTGTCAGCACAAAATAATACTATTTAGTACATTTCCCATTTATAACGTATACACAGTTATTGGACAATCTTTGTTGAGTTACAAAATACTGCTGAAGCAGCTGCAGTTTAACACACGTAAGCATGCCTTAGTCTTAGCCAACTGTGAAAATGGGTGAGGGGGTGAATGAAACAGGCGTTATCAGATGTCACAACTATTTTATTTTTAGAGCAAAAACTTGGAAAATAAACTACACTGCAAGGTCATGCTGCACAGAAGAGACAGATATAGGTCCTGCTACCACAGTCCTTATTCCTGACCAAGGGGTCCCCCCTCCCCTGCCAGCACACTTCCACAGGGCTGAAATGATTTTATTCCATTCAACTAGAGCTTTGGAACAGTAAATATTTAACTACCAGTAAACTTTTGACTACCCCACTAATTCCAAATCATGTCCAAGGCTGTAACTGAACTTAGTGGGATTTAGTTTTGAGTAAATGTGTATCAGATTGGACTAACTTAGGGGAAAACATGACTGCATGCCAGCTGTTTTAATACAAACAGCACACACACAGCTGCTCGGTTAACAACTGTTATCTTGGAATACAGTTCAAAATTAAACCAAGACTTCAAGGAATATGACAGGCTGAGATCTATCAATTGTACGGTTATTTGCATAAAGATGCTCAATTTACTTGATTTTTCTATCTAGGTTTCTTTGGGGGGGGGAGTGCCATGGCATTATAGAATGCTTCTGGCATTACAGAAGTATGGGCACAGAAAGCTGAAAGAAAGATAGAAAGGAAATAATCAACATGAACTCTAGCAGCCATTCACGCTTGGTGGTCATTTTACTCTATTCTTGAGGCCTCGCTGTCCAATGGCCCACATTTGGAATGAAGCATTCTGGTTAAACTGGTGTCCAGGCAACATCGTCCCTGTGGTGACAGGTGTGAACACTAAAGCAGCTATTAAAAATGCCACATCTTCAGGTTGGCAAGGGGCTCTTCCAAATATTAAAAACTTTTCTAGCCCATTTTCCCAGATTATTCAGAGGAACTTGCAAAGCATATTTTTTAAAAAATGTGTTGAACTAAGCTAAAATTAAACCAAGAACAGCAACAGTCAATTAACCAGAAGATATAAAAGTAAATGTGTTGCTTTTCTAGCAAGTAAAAAACAAAGCAGTGAACTGCAGAACGGTAGATTACAACCCCAACATAAAGCAATCTGTCAATCAGCAGTTAGGAGGACCAGATCAGTCAGCTAAAACCAACAAGCCTGACCAAATGTTACAACCCAGCCAACCAACAAAAGGCCTTTATTTCATGCTTCAACAGAGGTATAAAGTGTCAGGCAAACTTCATGGGGAAGAGAGTCCCACAGGTGTGATACTACCTCCAGAGGTCATTTCGGGGGGGATCGCAGTCCCCCCGGGTGAGGTACGGGGGGCGGGGCACATGACAAAGCCCCGCCCCCTGCTGCCGGCCGCCCCGCTTCCGGCCCTCATTCAGCCAGGAGGAGGCGGGAGAAGAGGGAGGGTAAGTTGCTTCCTCCCTGCCTCTCCCCACCCCTGCCTGCCTGGGGCGAGGGAGGGCCTTTGCGGGGCTTCCTTGCACTCCCGCCGGCCTTGCAGGTCCACCGCTGGGCCCCTCATGGGGCTCGGCAGTGGAGCTGCAAGGCCACCACCGGCGGCCGGGACCATTGGGGGCGGGGGGTGTGGCCTTATGACACACTTCCGGTGATGTCAGGGGGTGTGGCATATGCTAATGAGTTATGCTAATAAGTCCCCCTAGCTCTTTTTCTACGAAACGATCCCTGTCTCCCCTTTAGATTTTATCACCACCACCACCCTGACTCATCACCTATCATCTCATCATATTTTGCTTGACTATCTCAAATTTTCAGCTCTAAGAGAGGAACTGATCTCCCCTTTATTTAATCAGGACTTCCTCTCTCCAGAAGCAAAATCATCCTGGTTACTTAGAGATGAAGACAAACCAACTACCCCAGTGTGGCAAAATTTCTAGCAGCTGTTGTCAAATCACACGACAGCTTTTGCAGTAGCAACCTTTGAATTCTGCCATGTTTTCCTGTGGAACTAAGTTTATTGTGGGATGAGGGTTTGCTGTTTATGACTCCGGTTGCAAAAACAGTAAAGACAATAATAACAACGATAGTAATAATAAAGGAGATCATAATGGACAGCAAGATTCATACTGGAAAAAATGGAACTGCTGTATTTGCTTTTATAATCCCTAAATTGTGTTATTTTTATTACAGAAGTGAAAAATTCTGGATTATTTATAACTCCCAGAAACCCAGAGAATAAAACCTTAGAACAGAAGGGGACTCTTTCAAAAGCGGGGTCATCAACTCAGCTGTTTTGGTCAGAGCCACTAGATTAGTGTACGCTTTTAATTGTCCGTGCTACAGTCCATCACACTTGCAGGGAGAAAAGGGGCCCACAAAGGACGGGCAGAATCACCTTCACTCTTATTACCTGACGTCACTTCCTCCAACTGTACTTCCTTTTCTTCTTCCCTGCTTTCATCTTCTGCGGCAACGAGATCAGACACAAGATCATACACCGTCTTGTAGCTCTCTCCTGTCGTTAGGATTTTACTCTGAATGGTCTGCTTAACAAGTCTTCTGTTGAACCCCATCTCCAAGGCAGCCTCCACCACCGGGTTCTTCATCATGACTGCATCTTCTGAAGGGTTTTCTCCGGGTTCAAAATGGATGACTACTCAAAGAGAAAAACGCATACAATTACCTATTCAGATTTCAAATAAGAATAACTTTGGCAGGATAATTTTTAATTAAAAACTATCATCAAATCAGTACAGCATGATATTGTAGTGTCCCACAAGGATTAGTATGGGGACTGGGGCTGTAAGTGATTTGGAACTGGCGGTAAAAAGGGAGGTGGCCAAGTCTATGGGTTACACCAAACTGTTCAGAAACCGGAACAGATTGTGAAGAGCTACAGGAGGATCTCTCTAAACTGGGTGAGTGTGCAACAACGTGGCAAATGAAGTTTAGTGTGGTACCGGTAAGGTGATGCATACTGGAACAAAAAATCCTAACTTTAAATACATTCTGATGTGGTCTGACCTGCCAGAAAACAGAGAGGAAGAGATTTTGGTGCTGCAGTTGACAGTTTGATGAAAAATATCAGTGTGAGGGAGCAAAGAAAAATAAGAATTCCATGCTGGGGATTATTAGGAATGGGACTAAAAATAAAACAGCCAATGTTGTAATGACCTTATAGAGATCTACGGCATACTTTTCTAACTGTGGAGCTCAAGAAGGGCAGAGGAGGGCAACGAAGACGATGAAAGGGCTGGAGCAACTTTCTTATGAGGAAAGGCTAAGGAGTTGGGGGGGGGTTTCCTTCAGATTAGAAAAAAAGAGAACTGGGAGACATGACAGGGGTTTAAAACATGCATGGGGAGGAGACAGTGGGCAGAGAGCACTTTTTCTCCCTCTTTCAGAATACTAGAACTCAAAGGCACCCAATGAAGTTGATGGACAATAGGTACAAGATAGACAGAAGGAAATCTCTTTACTCAACAAGTGGCTAAAATGTGGGCTTCACCGCAAGGGGTGGTAGAGATGGCTATGAGCACAGATGGCCTTTTAAGAGGTTAGAGAGATTCAGGGAGGACAGGCCTTAACCATGGCAACTAGCCATGATGACTAAAGGAAGGCTCCCCATTCAGGGGAAATAAAACTCTTAACAGCGAGGAGGCAACACTGGGGTATGCCTTGGCCTCTGAGCCCTGCTTGTTGGCCCTCCATGGCAATTGGTTGCCCACTGTGTGAAACAGGATGCTGGAACAGAAGAGCCACTAGTCGGATCAAGAAAGCTGGTTCTTATGTTGTATGGCTAAAATTTTGTGACAACTTCGGGTTGGCTTTTTTTTTTAGAAGGGGTTCCTCTGGTCAAGCAATTAGATTTTATACGATTATTCTAAAGACTTTTTCACACAGGGCAAGCTGTATGATATGGCACCTAGACAGGACAGACTTTTTATGTTTGGAGGCAACATTTATTCTTATCTCACTTTTCATCAAGTGCCAAGAGCAGCACAACCAAATTTGGGGAGTATTTTGTTTTCCTGAGCATGCATTTAATGTGAAGATTGCTTTGTCTCAGAACAACAGTAAGGTAATTTTCACTCATTCAACGAAAATGGACTGGGAATGGACACCACGACATTTTATTGAGCAGCCATATGGCATACAAAGACGCCACATTCCCATCATGCCACATGGTTGCCAACCTCCAGGTGGTGGCTGGAGATCTCCCATTCAACTGACCTCCAGGCCACAAAGAGCCATTTACCTGGAGAAAATGGCCATTTTGGAAAGTGGACACGATGGCATGATACCCCACTAGAGTCCCTCCTCTCCAAAACCCTGCCCTCATCAGGCTCCACCCCCAAAATCTCCAGGTATTTCCCAACCTGGAGCTGGCAACCCTAATTATGCATGTTAACACAACACTTACCTGGTGGATCAGTGTTTTCAAACGCAGGTATGTCTGAAGTGGACAGCAGCTACAAAACATAAAAGAGAAGCGTTCTTTAAACAAATTTTTAATGGGTTAATACTTTTCACAGACCTACCGAATTTGCTAAATGTTTAACCCCTCATCTTCAATATCTACGCATGCTTGGCATGAAATGCTAGAACAAACCCCCTGTTTAAGATATTGGCTCGGGTCCACCAGAGGATTTACATGGATTACAGGGGGAGCAGTGTTTGGGCTGGAAAGTGAGGGGGCAAGAGGAGAGGTGCGAGGTAGTCGCCTTCCACTGATGGAAATCCCTTCCGCCTGTGGAAACCCTCAGATGGAAACAAGCACTGTTCTGGTGCAACCACTGGAAAACCTGATCCCATCTCTGCGCCACTCTAAGCACTGTTTGCTAGAGAAGCAAACGTTAAGATCTGGCACCAAGCCAGGTGAGAACTTGGTAGGGCAGCGGGTGTCCCAGGGAAGGGCCAGGCACTCCTCCTATTTGTAATCCATGCAGCAGCCAATCCACATCAGCCAGTGCTGTTTTAATGTTTAGCTCTATTCTACTGAAGGCTTATTGTCGAATTTTTTATTGCAAGCCACTCCAAGACCATACAGGAGCGAATACAGTATAAAAATGTAAAAACTAAATAAAAATAAAGAAACATTATACTGTGCTAGCATCAGAGGGAAGTGGCAGACCTCAATTATTTATTTTGTACTGCAGGGGTCCCCAACCTCTTTGAGCCTACGGGCACCTTTGGCAGCCACCAAATAGCTACCGCAGGAGGTGAAGCCAGCCACCAAATGGCTACTGCAGAGCTTCCTCTTGGGTGTGGTGGCACCTGCCAATCAAATCTCCAATGCTCAATCAGAAGCCTTGCCGGGCAAAAACCCCATCTGTCCCCGCCCACTTTCTAACACCACTTGGTGAGCGCAAGAAAAAGGTGTTGGTGGGCAACAATGTGCCCGTGAACACCATACCGGGGACCCTTATTGTACTGATTTAGCATAATTTAATATGCATTTTTAAAAAATTCTTAGCTGCCTTGAGCATTTTAATGGAAAGGCAGGATATAACTCTTCAGAACGTGTCATTCTCGGCTGCAAGACGGTTAACGTCAACCCAGATGTTTCGTGACAAAAACCACACAGTACCACACCCTGATCACTCAGCGCTGATGAGGAACTTTGTAAAATGCAAAACCACCACCCAGTTGAAGAAAAAATTGCTCTGCAGGAACGTTCAGTCATATGATTAGGAACATCTTGGGCAATCCTCTCAATTGCTTTATGACAAACAAGGGGTTCAGCGTCCACTGTGTCACCAGAAGCATGAGTTGCTCTCTGAGTGATCACTGTGTCCTTGGATGACAGTTTCATCCTTACAGCCAAAATTCTTATAGAAACCCTTGGCAGATCTAGCCACACAGACAACTTAGAGCTGTAAAGAGCAGACACTAAAGACAAAGCATCTTAATACCTGTTCAAGAAGGCGGGGGTATCTTTCTTGAACCTGATGGACAAACTCTTGCCCTTTCACGTGAAGCAGGTACTCACACCTAGAAGACAAATGCATGGCTAACTTTCTCAGATACGCCCATAGGCAGAGAAGACGCAGATGTATCATGGTTAAGCATAATGAAATGTTGCCCTGCTAGTTCTACCTGTCTGTCGTGAGGATTTTACAAACTCTCTAAAAGCATATAATTGTGTCACCAGCCACAGCAGAGCACAAACCTTGATCGGAACCTAGCTCCAGGTCAAGGATGAAATGTCTGTATTTCAGTTGATGCCTTGAATTAATTGGTGTAATTGAAGTTTGTGCATTAGTCTAAAATAGGTACATTCCCCTGCATCCATTTTATTTGCTAGACAGACTGCCTGCAGTTGTAATGATGACCTGGATTTTTAAAAGACAGAATGCCAACTTGGAGGTATGTGCTTGGACAACCTCTGTTGCACATTCGTACTAGAGCCAAGAAACGCCTTTTCTACATGACCCAGATGCAGCTGTACTCTCAAGAGAGCCATCACTTTTCTGAGGTGGCTTTGCCATTGCCTGCCTTTGCACAGAGACCCTGGACGTCTTAGTGGTCCCCCATCCAAATACTAATCAGGGCCAACCCTGCTTAGCTTCCAAGATCTGAGGAGACTGGGCTGGCCTGGGCCATCCAGGTGAAGTCAAGAGGAAAACAGCTGTCTCTTATAGGGTAGAGTAAATAAGAATAGTAAGGTACTGTGTGCTACTTAGTAATATTACTGCTTCAAAGGACAGACTGTTAAGGCAGCAGGCTTCAGAACATCTATTCTTGGCTGGTTCTCTTAGAGTACAGATCTAACACTTCCCAGGAAGTAAGGTCCCACTAAGCAGGCTGGAGTAGAAATCGGAACAGACTTGCTCAAAATTGCTCTTTCAGCAACAGAAACCCAATTCTGGAGAAACTGATCAGAATCCAAGTGACTAATGATAGTTCCATACACCCTCAAGTGGGCTTTGAAGGTTTCTGAAAGATATTTTGGTAAAAGATTAGGGACTGTGGACTACACTACTGTGCCCAGTATGCACTGCTTGTTGCTATAAATACAATCCTACTATGTAATTTCTGCACAGTTGATAATGTTGCCAACCTCCAAGTGGCACCAGGAGATTTCCCACTATTATAACTGAGCTCCAAGATCAGTGTCCTGGAGAAAACGGCGGCTTTGGAGGGTGGAGTGTATGCCATTTCCCAACCCAGAGCTGGCAACCCTCCTCATTTAACATGTCACATTAAGGCTTATGCTTTGTTTAAACTCTGCTTCAGATTTCTGTTTGCTTTCAAATTTCTGCAGTCCAAATCCTACTGCACTTTTTACTGGATGTCCCACCTTGTTGACTGTACTGAATGCAGTCTGCCTTGAGTCTCCATGTGAAAGGCAAACTCATGTAAATATAAAAATAAGAAATGTACGAATTTTTAAGTACCTTGGAAACCATTTCGCGTGCTCCACCCATGGATCGTCCCCAGACTCCCAGCACCTGAGTCCACCATCACAGCAGAAACATTTGACGTCGTCATTGCAACCTTTAAAATGAAAAACAGATACAAAAAAGGAGTTAAATTAACCAGACACCCTGAGAAGTCACTGATTAAATCTGAGAATTTCCCAGAGCCCAAGTCATTTTAAAAAAAAAGATCCAAGTTCTCTTGCCTACGTAATAGAAGCCGGCGTCTGCAAGCTGCTGTGGCCGAACTGGAATCGTAATTGGCCAGCTGGTGAAGGTGCTGACTCGGGCACTGTGGGTTTGCATTCTCAGGTTTGCAACTGAGAAACTGGGCAGGTCTCCATACAGATTTTGCACAAAAGGGCAATTGGGAAAGTGCCTCCGATGTTCAGACATGGCGCTATCCTCTGGGTCCCAGTTGCCCAACTGGCCGCCGCAGGCAAAACAAGCTACCCTATCTGCAGGGCCAACATAGTAAAACCCAGCTCTGGCCAGCTCAGACGGTGCCAAAAACGTCAAGGGCCATGCCTGGAAAGTTCGCTGCCTGGCTTCTTCTGTCTTCATGGAGCGATTGAAAGATTTGGGTCTGAAATAGGACAGGTCTTCCACGGCCCTGGATGCTATTGGATCCTGGGGGAAGCTTGCATAGTGTCCGCTGAAATAGCCCCCTTGATCCAAACTGGGCGCTTTCCTTTCAACGTTCATCTTGGCGCCCATCGACGTAACTGGAGGCGAGAAGGCAGAATGGAACGAGGAACCGAGACTGTTGGCTGAACCCAGGCTCTGAAGAAAGCTGCAGCTCGGGTAGAGTTGCTTGTGCTTGTCCAAAGCGCTGTCTCCTTTCTTCCAGTTATCCAACATCAAACCGCAGCTGAAACACTTCACTTTGTCTTTCAGGCCGGTGTAATAGAAACCCGCACGGGCAAGACTCCTTTCTGACACTGGAACGTTCAGGGGGAAAGTCGAGAAGGTGGAGATCCTGTAGAGTTCACATGTTAAATCATACCGCAGATCGCTCTCGTTGCTGCTGCTGCTCTTCAGTTTAGACAGGAACGGGCTGCTTTCCACTAGATTCATAATGAAATATGATAGGAGGAGGGGACGAGTCCGAACCCTGGGAGGTGGTTTTGTGCAAACTTCCAGGCCATGGTAAAAAACAAAGAACCTGAAAGTGAAAGATTACATGCAATTTCCTTCTTTGAAAAACCCAATTTGCTCTTAGAAGTACTTTTCCTGCCATCGGTTACGTAAACTAGTTCTCTTTTCACAACCCCTTGTTCCTTATACTACTGGGGAAGAAGTCTCAAAATGAAAAAGTGACGGGCAGGAAACCAGTGCTGTAATCCTAAGCATGGAAACTTGAGACAGAAATTCCACTGAAATCAATGAACATGCAAGTAAGCCATTTAAAGACAGGAGTGCAACACTGACAGTATCTTGTCACCCTTTTAAGTCCATTAAAAGCCATTAATGGGCTTTCAAGGCTATAGTTCTGTTCAGGACTGTACTGACTTCCCAAAACTATTAATTTAGATAAAAGGGCTGAAATGTTTATTGAAGACCTTTTTAGTCTACCTTTCCCTTAAAATACCACAAGGTGGGTCACAATGGTTTAAATAGTACATCAAACAATTAAAACTTATATATAACAACTTCAGGTGACCAGAAAGCCTTCAGATGGACCATCGAAATGATTCCGTCTTATGCTTCTGTCAGGACGCTCATAATGTGGGGGCCCTTCTTGACCTGCGCAGGAAGACTGTTCAATCACGCACAGGCCACAGCCAGCATCCATTTGAATCAGGCCTCAGGTATTTAAGAAAAGACCTTTCTCCGGCCAAGACTCTGGACACTCTTTACCATATACTGTAGTGCAGGGGTCTCCAATGTGGTGACCATGGGCACCCCTGGCACCCACCTTCACCTTTCCTGTCTCCTGACAAGTGTTTTTAGAAAGTGGGTGGGGCCAAGTGGGGCTTTTGCCCAGCAAGGCCTCTGATTGGCTGTGCAGATTTTTAAAAACATTGCGTTGACAGCAGCTGCCACCACTGCACAAGGATGTTCACTATGTGATTGAACATAAGTTGTGGCAGCCATTTTGTGGCTGGCTCCGCCTCCTGTGATGACTATTTTGCGGCAGCCATGTTGTGCTGCGCCCGCCGTATTGTCTCAGAATTCCAACTATGCCCATGGGCTTAAAAAGCTTGGGGATTCCTTGCTGTAGAGAATACCGTGCAGTATCCTGCCTTAGGCTAGAGGAAATTCCTCCAGCCTCAGGAGCTCTTCCAGTGGAGGAAGAGCCACTTACGTTGGAGGAAGGCTTCAGATTTGCTTGAAGAGAGAAGATTCAGGCCAGTGAGACAGATGGACCAGTGGTCCAACGTGGTGGTGTAAGGCAGCTTCATATTTTAAGGCTATCTTAAAACATATGTTTTTATGTTTCTCCCTAAGACATGCAAAACCATGTCTCAAAGTGTTGGTCTTTTTAGTAATTCCCACCGAGAAGACCACTGTTGCCTATCTGAGGTTTTCCCATTACCCAAACCTTTCAATAAAGCTTTGACACCATTGAAGGAAGAACAGTCTCTATAAACTTGTTCTGGATACCAGCCAGGCCCGAACAGACTTCGGTGATTCTTTCTATACACTGCCAATGAAGTCTACTTAACTAGTACAATTTTAACCAGGCCGCCTTAATACTATTAGGCTATCACTGCATTTAACATAATTATATGGCTTTGAACAGTAAAACTCTCGTTTTATATATCCATTAACTAAAATAAAATGGCAGGTCATGTTTATTTAGTGGCAGCTTCCTTGAATATCAGTGTGTGTGGGGGGAATATTGTGTCTTTATGCACAAAACCACCTCCCAGGCTTCAGACGCCCTTTCAAAGAGCTTAGGCAGCCATATTGCAATGTGGGGTTCACCAGGAGAAAATGTAAATATCGAGTGTGACAAACACAATCCTTTTTCAGGTTATCAAGACCTGTGTGAAAAGAGAAAGATGGGTCAGCTTCCTACAAGACGACAGAAGTAGTACATTGTGTACACGCAACTGTTTCTCAAATGTGAAAGTATGCCCAATTTAGAGGACTGTGAAGGGTAATAATAACTTTTGTTTCACACTGTTGTATTTGTTTCACACTGTTGTATCTGTGGCACAAACAAAAAATGTATCTCTGCATCTCGTTACCAGGGACTCAGTAACGGTCTGCATCAGATGTACACAGCACAATGCTTAGCGTATTTACTCAGAAGTCAGACCCATGTTTTAAGTGGGACTTCAGCGTGCCAACAGTAAAAACATCAACAAAACACTATTAATATCAATGAAACATGTATGAGCAGGTCCAATGAGCAGGCCCAGTTTGCAAAGCTTTGCACAGCCATGCCTCCCTTATTAAACAGAAGACATAAATCAGTGCCTGGAAGGCAGAAATGTCAGGTCAGTCCCTTAGCCGGCCATTTCAGTTCCCAAGTGCTGAGACCAGCCTGCCATTATGCCTTTGCTTGCCTTGCCTTCCGTGGCTTTTACCTTTCCTGGTCAATCACACACCAGTGTGTGTGCTACCCCAGAAGGATGTGGAAGCGTTTTCTGACACAAGGCCACCTGGTGATTTATCACAGATGTCAAAATCCAGAGCATACAGCTCCTATCACTCTAATGGGTATTTGCATTTTTTAAAAAAATTAACTCAACAGACACTCTGGTACTTTAACCACAGGAAAAAACATTCTTGTTACTGTTTTGTTTTGCAAATTATGTAAAGCCCTCCTTTATTTCTTATATGGCCTCAGTGCACAGTCTTCGGGATTTTCTGTGTTCTCATTTTCCTTGCTTGTGGGTTCCTGTTGCTTCAGGAGGGGTTTTCTGTCCCGGATGTGTTCTGCTCCCTCTAGTGGTCAATTCAATATTACACTGCAGGTTAAATCTGCAGGGAGATAAGCTGGACATACAACGATGTAATATCAAATTGACCACTAGAGGGAACAAAATACACGTGGAACGGGGGGGACGGGACCTGAAGCAACACACAAACACAGAAGCAAGGAAGATGAGAATGCGGAAAAGACCTTTCTCTGTACCATCGCTTCTCTGTGAAGGAGGCTCCTGTGTTAACTGTTATGGGAGAGCCTAGGATTGGCAGCCCCCCCCCCTTCCGAGAACTTATCTAGGGGAGAGAAATTCAGTGAAGGCTTTTGGCTAACAGAGGATAAGTCTTTATTAAGGATGGTCACCCTGATGCCTGCAAGAGCAGATCATGCAAAACACAGTGAACAAGATACCAATTCCTTCCTTTGTAGGATAAAGTAGATAAAAGGTCAGGGTCTAGAATCTCTAAGAAAGTTCATGAATTCTGTTCCCAGTCATAATGCTCCCTCTAACCTCTATTATAAGACACATAAAATTCTTGAACACTAACCCAAGCCATAATTCAAGGGGCTGTGCCAAAGGAGATGGCATTCAGCCCACAGTCTTCCCAACACACGGCTTGCAAAAATATATATATATACAGGGCTCATTCCAAAACAGGTAGTAATTAAAAGTACAGGCAGTCATCCAAAAATGAGGCACAAAGTCTATGAACCCATGCCACATAAACTGGGACACAGATAAGCCCTCAATAATTTACACAGCCACAAACAATAGTGTTACAGCAGAGATCTCAAGTATATCTGCGGTCTCAAAATGACACTGCAGCTACATCCAATAGAGCAAGTATAAAACATGCACAAATCTGCTCATATCTTTAACATCAAAGTGCACAAGTTACTTTTATTGTCAACGGCCCAGCTAATCCACTCAACAGCAAAGCTGCATTCAAAAGCACATGCCTACACACAGAGACACACAATTCAATTGGTTAGGAGATGGTGGTACAATTCTCCATACCACTGAACCAACCCAAGATACACAAAGGGGGACTGCATGTGCGGAAAGAGCCCCAAAGTCCACGTCCTTATATTGGCACATCAAACAAGCTACAAGATTAATTACTGATGTGGAAGTGTCACAGATAGGAAGGTACTCTACAGTGTGTAGGCCACAGAATGCAATGCTACCAAGCCTTTGAGAACAGACTCAAACAGCAGGCTATCAACCAAGCCAGACGTTATGCAGGAAATGGCTTTAATCCAGCACCACAGCAACTAAACTGGCTTTAGTTCATTCACCACACCAAGAAAAACATGTCATTTATTTGGTGAATCATGGGCACACAATTGCAAGTGTTAAATATGCAAGCCACTTATATCAGTGCATGCTGTTTTCAGTTCAAACATACAGTATTTTAAAAATTCCGCCGCCACCCTTCTTATGGAAATCCTAACATGAAAATTTTTCTACATACAGATGTCCTTTCCAATTAGAACATGGCACACATCCCCAAACTATATGAGCATACGCTTCTTCACAGGGCGAAGAATGATTGCCTTTTTAAACCTCAGGTCCCTATACTTAGAAAAATCTGTCATGGCCCTTCACAAATAGCACCTCTGAGATATTAGGATACAGAAAGGTAAATGAGCAAGTACTGAACTAGATGGGTGGCTCAAATATATATTTTAATTGCTAAATAGCAGATGGAGGCAACCCCAATATGAGCGGTGACCCTTCTCCCCATACTGGTTACCTAATTTCACAAGCCCCCCGCCCCCCCTGAAGCTGCTGGCTGTTCAGCGGAGGGAAACATATGGAATGCCTTCCCCAGGGGAAAGCCACAGCCCCAGGCCGCTTCAGAGAGGGGGGAAGTGGCACTGGGGGGAGGTTTGAAAACATCTCGGCACTGCAGTCCCAATCTGAACATAAGACCCTTCCAAAGTTTGAGTCCAGTGGCACCTTTAAAACCGGCAAAGTGGGTAAATTCCATTTCATTGTGCCTGAGAGAGTGTGCGTGCAAAGCTCATACCTAAATAAAACTTAGCGGGTCTTAAAGGTGCCACTGGACTCCGACACTGTTCTATTGCTTCAGACCAACTCAGCTTCAGACCAACTTGGATATCCCAGTGTGTCATCTGGTTTGGATTCAGCAGCCAAATAAGCCAGAGGTTAAGAGATCTCTAGCTCAGCTGGCAGCCCTTAAACGAAGTCCATCTCAGCAACTGCCCAGTAAGAAAAGTGCTGAAGTGCACTTCAAATGCCTGACATAAGCAGGCGTCCACAGAAATAGCTTATCAGGCTGACTCACACCCCCCCTCCCCATGTCCCCTGTGCTTAGCAAAGCATTTCCACATCATGATGCACTTTTGGCTGTCTGCACAGACGCAACCTCTGAACTTTTTCCAGATGATGACATGTCGAAGAATAGGTAGCAAAAGAGATCAGCATTTTAAAAATAAATGGCCCTTTGGATCAGGTGTCTTGCACACCGTGGCACCCCAGCATCCTGAAATAAAGGTACTATTTAGGTCCCATAAAGCTGTGGTAATCAAAAGAACCAATGCCCCACAATCATCCTTAAAAGGGAAGGGAAACGAGCAAACCGTATCAAGTCTTCCTGTGTGTGTTACCAGTACTCCCCATAAAAGATAG